CTGAAGGTTAATTTAGTAAGGAAATAAATAAGTCCAAGTAAAGACAGTAAATCCTAAATATATTAAAAAAGGTCAAATTCATGGCCAATGTTTGAAACAATGTTAGATAATGGACAGAGAAAAAACCCAAACCTTATGTGTGAAATTACATAATGTAATGTTGTCTCACCAGCTGCATTATTAGAAACAATTCCTTGAATCTATATCTCATTATTATCATCCATCTTTCAACTTTGATAAATATTTTCTAAAAACTTCCTTTGTCATGTTCGTTAGCTGTTCTTTCATTAAACCATATGTATACTACCATCGTGTAAGATAATAAATTGTTCGCCTATCAGTTTCGCCTTGTCAGTTCTCTGTTTTTATGTAATAAAAAGTTATTTATTGTAATCAACTTAATTAAAATATCTCCATATTAGGTTACCGTAATGATAATGATAACATAAATTTTTAATAAATTCATTAAAAAAAATAATTTTTGTCCTTGAACTGAAAATAGTGTCATGGTGAAAACAAAAACTTAACTATTTATGTTCAGTGGGAGAAGGGTAAAAATTGACTAGAATTGATTTAAGCTAAGCCAATCAGTAAGAGTGTTCACAGCTCAGCGTCGAAGTTTAAGCCTTCAAATCCATGTGTGGCCAGAATTATCTGTGTTTGAATGTTAAAATGACTCTTCATTTTAAGATACTCTGTAATATATAGAAAAGACATATACAGAAATAGTGAGTAAAATTCCTAGTTTGAAGTATTTTAAAGGAATTATGTGATTTTCGTACATTTCTAGTACTTCTGAAGACTATATACATATATTCAAGATTAAAATCAACCCTCCAAAATGGCACACCTGTCGCTTTAAGTCTAATAACCTAGCAAAAAAGCAGGATGATAAACTCCATTTCATTTCATTTTGTAAATTGATAACTGTTATAATAAGGATATAACAGGAGAGTAGCTGACTAATTAAGACAGTAACAAGTCTAAGGTAACATTTATTTAAACTGTATATATTCCGTAGGGTGTTATTAACCTATAGTAGGGCGTTATTAACCTATAGTAGGGTGTTATTAACCTATATCTCACTCCTTATATATCTATTAACTTTCAAAACATGTAACAACTATAACAGACAGTTTGACTGTAATATCATCTCACTGTTTCCATCTTAACCACCTGTTTCACTTTTCCTTCTGAAATAACTCCTTCTAGTGTAGTATATCAGGTGTGTAGGTGGACCTTGGGTTTCCATTAGGTGAGAGGGTCTAGTAGGGTTCACAGAATTACCAAAGTGAGGCTCAGATTCAAGGCAAAATCCAGCCAGCCTCATTCCTTCTTCTGTAGAAACGAAACTGCAGGTGGATCTAAATATACTGACAAATTTTTGAAGTAACACTGATAATTTTCAGTCGTATGACACCAGATAGAGTTTGTTAAGAAGATATTCTCAGAGTCCTAGAACTTTTGAGCTGGCCACCAGAGTGTTGTACATAACAGACCAGTCCTGGATGTTGGTAGACCAGAACATCAGGGTTATTAAATGTTGTCTTTAATAAGTGATATCCTTTATCCTAAATGTTAGATATTAACTGGCTACTGTAGACAAACAACAGATGACCTTGGTAGTGATTTTCTGACTCTGGATTTAGCTAGCCATGAAATAAAGACAAATTTTAGACTTGAAAATGGGGTGGCAAAGATGTCTCTTGAAAGCATTATTTTTATTAAAAAAATATTGTTGTATAAATGATTCAAAACATCTCATGATTTGCACAGAAATGTGTCTGAAACAAAAGTTGTTCTCCATTACAGATAAGTGAAAGGGTCAAAGAGCTAATTCTCTTTTTTGAAAGGGTCAAAACTTTTGACAGACAGAAACCTTAACAGAAAAACTCCTGTGCAAGGGAAAGTGAACCCAGTGCTTCGTGTCTGACTTTTCACCAAGTGGTTCATAGATTACACCCAATCATAAACAGTATTGTGAAAAGAGTTGGATTATTTCTGTTAATTTTAATGATATAACAAGTCTATCGTCTGTAATAATATTTATACAGGCAATAAATGGTTTATTTTATGTTTTACTATAAAAATATTAGTTTGTTACTGCAGATTTAGTCTGAAATCAGAAGACTTTATCAGTATTCTTATTGTTGATAGATGTTGAAATGGTAGAGCCAGAAAAACCATAACCATAACCATATTGCCTACTCTTAAATATACATTACAGGATTTTACTTACTTATTCGGGCTTTTATTGTTGACAGATGTTGGATTGGTAGAGCCAGAAAAACTAAACTGAGTATGCACATATTACAAGTAACTGCTTACTCTTGTTTGCCTTCTTTTTATTGACAGGTGTTCGCTCGATAGAGCCAGAAAAACTTCAGTTCACTTCCTTGTATGACATTATATACTCCAGCTTCCCATTGTTTGATGTATCTATTAAAAACAAGATCCTGCTGAGACATACAAGGATGTAGAATCCAGTTTTCATGCACAAATTGGTTTACGTCTTCTGCACCATTTAGGCTTATTGAGAACAGTAACTCATTGCCCTATGCAATGATGGAAATTTGCTGAATTTCGCTAGTTTAGAGTCAGAGAATTTCGAACTATACCAGTCTCAGATAACCCCCTGTAAGGTGAACCTAGTCTGGGAAACTTCAAGTTTTTTATGCTCCAGTTTTTAAGAGGCAGGGTCTAAATTTCAAATGGAACAAGATAACCTTCTAGAGGTTCTACCAGAGAGAAAGATCAGATTCTAACAGCTTCTGGATTATATCTCTATAGAAACAATATATTACAGTCAGTTTAAATATGGTTTTTATTTGATAACTTGTGCTTGATGTTGATTTTTATTTCCAAGTGTTTTTGATTATTTGGTGGACGTTTTAAGCTGAGATTCCAGAGTCTGGATCTGACGGAGTCAAGATATAACTATTGGGTGTCACAACCTAGTTTCCTTTTATCAGATTGGACAATAAACAGTCTGCGTGTAGATTCCTTGATAGTTTTAAATAAACAAAGTGTAGGGTAGTGCCATAGGGCATTGGCTTCACCTATCTGAACTAAACTAGATCAAAACTAAATTTAGGATGATTTAAGTGTTCTAATCATCTGATTTGTCCATCAATTTAAATCTAGTTTTATTATCCAATCATATTACTGTTGCTTTCATAAATAAATATACCAGACCAAAGAGCAAGCAATAACTGTCCAAATTCTTACGATTTTACGAAGAGAAAAAGGTACCAATACCAAATGAACCTGAAATACACCCATCCAATCTGTAATACACTCATCCAATCTGTAATACACACCCATCCAATCTGTAATACACCAATCCAATCTGTGATACATACCCATCCAATCTGTAATATACCCATCCAATCTGTAATACACCCATCCAATCTGTAATACACCCATCCAATCTGTAATACATCCAATCTGTAATATACCCATCCAATCTGTAATACACCCATCCAATCTGTAATATACCCATCCAATCTGTAATACACCCATCCAATCTGTAATACACCCATTCAATCTGTAATACACCCATCCAATCTGTAATATACCCATCCAATCTGTAATATTGTAATGTAAAATTCGACAGTTGACATTAATAAGATTGGTATGATTAGTCAAAACAGAATTATTTTCCCATCTATCTGGGATATTTGATATTTCACAGTCTGCAGACCTAATAAAAGATGGTGTAGAAAACAGGTTGCCACGGTTTTTAAATCATTATATAAACTTTAGGTGAAAACTGATTCCAGGGATGCCAATAAGAAAACATATGTTTTGCCCTGAATGTCCATATTTAATGTATTTTTATCTTGATTTCACTCCAGAACCAACAACGTCCCTGCAAATTTATCACCAAAATTATTTTCTTTATTTTTATCAATTTACGATAAATCAGAAATATTTTCTGCTTTTCTCATATTGTCGATAAACGACTAACTTTTTCGAAGTTTACCAGATTAATAGTTGGTAATAATAATCTGATGTACTATAATGTATTTAATGAACTGTTAGTGCAACAAGAGTAATCTGTTTTAATATATGATCAGACAGTACAGTATAATGGACGTTTACAACTTCTGAAATTGTAAATGTGATGCTAAAATGAGGGTGCAGCTTTAGGGACTCTTGTAATTTGAAGGTAGATATGGGGAAATTGAATAAAATGGGCCTCTCTGTGGTCCTGAGTTTGTAATTGTGTAAAATACGAAGGTACTGGACAGTGGATACTGAGTACTGCCACCTGATCTTTATTTCGAATGTTATTTAGTTTACATTATTTACTTTTAAAACAAAGATCATTGGTATAGTTTCGAACATGTTTAAGGTGAAACATTTAGGGAATTACTTGACTACTGTGAAAACCAAACTACTATCGTATGTGCAGTAAAAAACAGACCCTTATCAATTCTCCAAATCCCTGACCAGAATTTTGATAAAAATGCCTTGAGACTATGTTATAAAACACCAAATTGCCAGTACTAATTCATATGTTGTGAAAACCATCTTAAAATCACAGTACTATTATATTTATTTTTATAATCGACTTGGTTTGTTTATTCTTGAAGAAAAAACAACCCCAACATCTCTTTATATTACATTATTTATAGAACTAGTTGCCAAAAGTTGCAGAAATTCAATATTTATGTATAGTTTCTAGTTTCTTTCCTGGCAAATCTTCCACCAATACTAGTTATATCTATTTCTTCTTGCAAAATATGTTCCCAGATTTGGGAATCTTTTGTAAAAGTTTCAACATTTTTAAGAAAAGAACAAAATATTGGACAGAATAAGAGAAATATATTCAAACAGATCAATTTTGTTAACTTTCAAATATAGTAATAATAATAATAATAATTTTATTGCGTAAATTACACCACTAGTGGTCAAAGCAATTCAAAAATATAGAAAAATACATTTTACAATTTGTTACAAACACATTAAAATTAAAATATCACATTGAAACCAATTCATGGCACAAACATTACAACATTATATTGAAAAGATGAAGATATTTTACCCAAATCAGTACATAGACATGATATTTTACCCAAATCAGAACATAGACATGATATTTTACCCAAATCAGAACATAGACATGATATTTTACCCAAATCAGAACATAGACATGATATTTTACCCAAATCAGAACATAGACATGATATTTTACCCAAATCAGAACATAGACATGACATTTTACCCAAATCAGAACATAGACATGATATTTTACCCAAATCAGAACATAGACATGATATTTTACCCAAATCAGAACATAGACATGATATTTTACCCAAATCAGAACATAGACATGATATTTTACCCAAATCAGAACATAGACATGACATTTTACCCAAATCAGAACATAGACATGATATTTTACCCAAATCAGAACATAGACATGATATTTTACCCAAATCAGAACATAGACATGATATTTTACCCAAATCAGAACATAGACATGATATTTTACCCAAATCAGAACATAGACATGATATTTTACCCAAATCAGAACATAGACATGATATTTTACCCAAATCAGAACATAGACATGATATTTTACCCAAATCAGAACATAGACATGATATTTTACCCAAATCAGAACATAGACATGATATTTTACCCAAATCAGAACATAGACATGATATTTTACCCAAATCAGAACATAGACATGATATTTTACCCAAATCAGAACATAGACATGATATTTTACCCAAATCAGAACATAGACATGATATTTTACCCAAATCAGAACATAGACATGATATTTTACCCAAATCAGAACATAGACATGATATTTTACCCAAATCAGAACATAGACATGATATTTTTGTGGAGCATAACAAGAAGTTGAAAATAAATGAAGTGGACTGTCTCAGGTGAATACAGCCATATTACAAATATTACATTTCATACGTTATATTTGAAAAACTTTATCTTATGAAATTTCACTGTATCTTGGCAACTTCTGAATGTCATTTGGCAACTTCTGAAATTTCACTGTATCTTGGCAACTTCTGAAATTTCACTGTATCTTGGCAACTTCTGAAATTCATTTGGCAACTTCTGAAATTTCACTGTATCTTGGCAACTTCTGAAATTTCACTGTATCTTGGCAGCTCATGAAATTTCACTGTATCTTGGCAACTCATGAAATTTCACTGTATCTTGGCAACTTCTGAAATTTCACTGTATCTTGGCAACTTCTAAAAGTTCACTGTATCTTGGCAACTTCTGAAATTTTCCAAAACCAAAACTTATGAATTTTTCTGTTTGTATTTTTCAGACGATAGCTGGTACGACACGCTCCCCCAAATGTTTATTTGACCCGTCTGTGTTTTCTTTTCGTGCTATAAACACTGCGTATAGTCCGTTAGCACCGGTGGAGGAACCGTCTTGTGCTTATTGACAATCTTATCAATCAAGTTTGGTATCAAGAACAGACAACTTTGTGAAATTAAAGGGAAAACAATCAAGTTTTAAACATCACCAAGAGCAGACAACTCTGTAAAATTTCAAGGGAAGTTCATCATTTTTAAACATCACCAAGAGCAAATAACTCTGAAATTTCAAGGGAGACAATCAGTTTTAAACATCACCAAGAGCAGACAACTTCTGCAGTATACATTTACCAGCTAGTAAGTTCAGTTATACATTTGTCCAGTACTTGAAGATTTTGATCAGTAACTAGTGTTCTCCATTGGAAGAAAAATCAATGGTGGACGCCTTAAAGTGTACATTATGGATATCAAATGTGATTAAATCCAGAAAATCAAACTTTCCTGTAATGCTGATGTAAATAAAAGAAACAACATAACATCAAGACAATACATTGTGAACAGCATTGAAATGATAGGGAGTTTTACTTCCTGCTTTTCTGCACCAAACATCATTGAAAAGACAGATTTGGGTAAAATGCGCGACGCCCAAAAGAGTGCTACAATATGACTGCTTTAATCAATTTAAGACATAAGAATTTGCTGCTTTGACATTAAAATACTGTGTATTGATATCGAAGTGTAAATAGTTCTATCCAAATTATAAGTTCTGAAACTGAATGCAATTGCCCAAGGCAGCTGTAGATTTGGGACTCGAAGATGATATATTAACTGAAGTCCTGTTTTCAAAAACAATCAGGGAAGCTACCAATTTTTTTTACATTTAACCTTATATGGTTACATTTTCTTTTACAAATTTTTGGTGTTGTCAAATTTACGTAAGGGAAATAACTCTTGTTGTATATTAAAGGGAGATAAATCATGATAGATTTGACTGAATGAAATGGTCCTTTTTAGTCATTCACGACGTATACTGCAACTATGTACATTTTCCAATAAACTGAATACAAAATGATTTGATATATTGGGAAACGGAATTGTAAATAGTAATTATCAAAGTGGTCTATAAAAAGACGAGATAAAAATGTGAAAAAACACAAAATAAAATATATTTCTACATTTAGTAAGTTTGAAATTTGTGAATAATGTCAAAATTAACATAATGTCATCAATTTAATAATGAAATGCTTAGAATTGTGGCAAAATTGAAGTAATATACATAATGTCATAGATTTGATAGTGAAAAACTTTGAAATAAGGCAGAATTAAAGTAGGCCTAGTTCCTTTCTCAAATGGTGTTTTTTTTAATCTTAAATCTTTAACTAAATCAGGAATAAACACATCGTGTTATTTGTTGAGATGTCTCTATTCTGTGATCTGTTCCATATAAAGTTACAAATTCTATATTTTTTACAATTAAGACACAAAATGGCACATTTCTTCTCTTTTCTCATGTAGGGCATTTAAACTTTCAAAACTTGTAGATTAAAATAATTCACAATTTTTCTTACAAAATGGAAGGTTTTTGTCGATTTTTTAAAAAATATCATTTAGTATATTCATGAAATCAGTAGCAGGTTCTACGAAGATAAAACATTAATTTTCATTTTTGTTTTTTTTAAATCATTACTTTGAATACAGCTGAGGAGCACATTTTTTTGTAATTTTCACATTTTTTTTTCAGTTAGACTCAGGTTGACAGTAGGGTCAACTGATTTTTTTTTTTACATTTTTTTTATTTAAATTAATTTAAATCTTAAGTTAATTAACTTATAATTTCAGCTTATTTATTTAATTTATAATTAGGAATTGCAAAATCCATTCTGTTGCTTAACGAGTTTGCATTAATTACAATTTCATTAATTAAAAGGGAGTTTCATGACTTCATTTGTAAATAATGTATTTTTTTTCTAAATTTTGTTATTAAATAATATCATATAATCAGCTTTAACAGCTTTGAATTTTAATTATTGGTAAGGTTTTAGTTTTTCATGATAGCTTTAGGTCTTTTAAGTCTTTTTGTTCCTAGGATAAGGAAATCTGATTTAACCTTTTTAACACTGAATGTTAGAAAATAAAACAAGATAGAGCAGAAAGGGGCAATGGGCTTGCAACTACATGGTATCCATTCAGTGATGTTAGGTCACGTTGAATACAGGTGGCTGTTGGTACGAGTTTGACTATATTGTGAATGGAATGAGTAAACTGCAATATTTATTCACAAGCCTGAAGTAGATATCTCCTCCTTCAAGTCTAAACTCTGAAACTCTGCAACTCTGGAACTGGAACTGAAATGAATCATGTGACAGTAGCATGGCACACTTTCCAGACGGTTTGATTACAGATCTCTGTCTATATTTGGCAGTAAGAACTATATTTGGCAGTAAGAACAGCAGCTAAAAAGGGTTAACAAGTTGATTAAGATCTATTTAACCCTATTGATACCAGTGTATTGTTACTATAATAATACATTGTATAACATTGTTGTCTATAATAAAGATAATCATCTATTCAGGATTCTTCTAAAAGCAATTTCTATTATTCACATAAGTAATCTTAATTCTCATGAAAGAGCTTAGTCTGCAATATAAATTACATAAATAAGCTTCATTTTCATGAAAAGAATTTAAGACGTAAATGAAATCTCTTTCTATTATGACTTAGTCATAAGATATTGGAATATTGAATAATAGTCCACGTGGACTCTCTGAAAGAGATGTAAAGTTGACAAGCCCTGTTATAAAGCGTTATTAGGTGTTAAATAAAAAAAATAAGGATAATTAGGAATCTTCTAAATGTAGGTGTAAGTTTGACTACAAATACATACATGTAGTTCACATATTTTCTATAAGAAAAGTTACTATTTTTAGCAAATGAAGTTATTTTGTCAAAAACCATTTTACACACACATTGAAATTTTAGCATTTAATCTACCTCTCAAGGATAGGTTTGCATATGTGTAGTTTTCAGACTTTGACCTAATTAGGTTCAGAAAACTGTTCTATTTGGTTTTGAGTTTTGAATTTTGAATTTTTGCATTAATTTTAGCTTTACAGTAAATATTTGTCCAATCACAAAGTTTACTAAAGTGCAAGTAGTAAGCACAGGTTGAATTTTGAAAACTACGCATATGCAAACGCGTCCTAACTGCTTTTGAAAATAATGTCTATATTCGTATTCTTGATCACTTGCCAATGTTAACATATATTATATATAAATATATATACTTAACACACGAAATTCATGAGCATGCAGCATTTATCATCATTATATATATATATATATAAACCTGCCTTTAATAATTGTTGGCATTTCATTACATTGTTAAAATATAACGTAATCAGAAAACTTAAAAAAAAAATTAATTTAGAAGTAGATTAGGATTATATTTACCATTTTCTGGGTTTTTTCATTTTTGAAATTCAATTTTGATTTTTTTTATTACATATCATAATTTGAAGATGATTTTCTGAGGTCTGATACATTTTAGTTTGAATTCATTTGAAAATTTAGAATTTAAACTTCGAAACTGATGTTAAACTGGCTTGTGTTTAACTCAATATAAAATGCTATAATTTTGCTGGCTTTTTTTTGTATAAGAAAATAATTTTAATATTTTATATGTGTTTTGAAAACTTAGAATTTAAGTTAACTGAAGGAAATTATTTTAATTTTTTGCTGAATATTAATTTTGCGTCCACTTTGTAAGTGGATATTAATTTTGCGTCCACTTTGTAAGTGGATATTAATTTTGTGTGTAAATTGCTGCACTGATACTAAAAGGCCTTAAGGGGTTTAGGAACTTCTTAGTCCATGTGACATATTTAGTACCAAGAAATATAAACTTTGAGAAACACTTTGTTTCTTTTTTATGCCAAAGAGATTTTTGGTTCTCAATAAACATGGCGTTGTCAATACACATCCAGCATGCAATGCACATGCAATACTAGCTGTATTTTGATTGGTTGATTAATATTTTGATTATAATTTCATGAATTACAAAGAAGTCGTGGACAAACCATTTCTCGAAATAATTTGAGTTTATTTTTGAGAAACCTCAGGATCTGTACTACTGTGATAACATTATTCCAAAAGAGTGGCAAGTTTAAAGTTGGTGCCACCACATGTTCCCCAGGGTTATTCCCCTTTATTTCGTTTTATGTCCGAGCACTTGTAGCCTTCTGCTCCTTGTCTGTGTTCTTTGACTAAGATTCAGCTCTGTTGATTTGGCCGTCATACTAGCAGTCAGTTGTGACTAGAGCTCTAGACTGTTGAATTGGTTGTATTTACCAGTCATATCTGATAAAATGCTCTATTGTACGAGTGTACTATATGGTTTACATTATATGACCAAAATAAATAATAGTAAAGCAATTTTTATGCTTTTGAGGACTGAAAATTAAAATGGCCGAGCATTGTGGGCTACAACCAGCAGTGAAGCCTTGAAA